ACACACACACACACACACACACACACACACACACACACACACACACACACACACACACACACACACACACACCTTTTTCATATGCATTATTCTGCCAGGTCAGTAACGATCGATGTACTATGAACTCTGATATTACTCCGTTATTTAGTTGATCATATTTTTATCAACTAAAAAAGCTCTTTTTTTAAAGTAAAAATTGCAACTTAAATCGTTAAATCTAACTTTTTTATTCCATTACTTGTGTTAATCACGATTGAATAATTTTTGAAATTTTTTGTAAAAATAGATAATAATTACGAACATTAAGTGACAGATATATGAAGTCTTCGCGAATATGGAATCTCTCCTATAAATCCCCTTCGTAGCTTAAACTCGATATATTGTTCCCGTGGTGAACATCCATGTCAAACATTTCTGCGAGAATGTAATCGTATTCGATCGAGCAATTAGCACCACGGTCTGGCGCGGGCATTAAACATTCGGCGCATTCCACGTGAACATCACGCGCATTCGTGAGCCCGTAAGAACGCCAATAACTGTGACAGACATAATCGCGTATTACTGTCTGCGACTACGTGTAAATGCGCGATACGAGCCGACATAGTCGCCGAATCGTGTCGGCAGGTGGGTACCCGTAGGATTTCACCGCGTTTCCACGAACACGATAGAGACGATTCTCGAAATCAATGCGCTGAGAAACAAGCGAAAGATAATAAAAATATCAAAAGTTTTATTAATAATAATTCGGGAATATGAAATTTCCAATTATATTATGCAGATCATATCTCTTTATTTCTAATAAAGAATCCGTAAATTGCTTATCGCATATCGATACTTTTTCACATATCTCTCTTTCTCCCTCTTCTATTGTAAATTTTTACGCGAGTATCACCGTCATTTGCTTATCGTTTCTGCAGATTAGTGCAGAACAATGGTCGCATTTTTGAAATCGTTTCTTCATAATTCATGAAGCTTGCCACGGTCAGCGCTTGCTCGGCTCACCTCACCTCGACATTGACTTCGTGCAAATTACATTTCATTGACCCAGCATTCTAGTTGTTTTTTGTAGAGACAAAAACTAAAATCTGGCCGTTCCAGACTATTTTTAATCAAGTAAGCTTAATATAACGTTCTTTGAAATTGCAAATATTAAAAATGTGAAACACTAAATAATTACATAGTAATTAGATCATGAATGAATTACAAAAAGATAATTGTATTGATGTATAGTAAATTAATGAAACATGGATTATCACATGTTATATATAAACATATATAGGACATATAAGACATATATAAAAATTGCAGGTTTGGTCATTATTTTCTATTTTTAATTCTCGCCGCGAAAAATATGCGACTGCTATTTCAAAAGCTTGCTATGCTACTAGAAAATCGTGCCACGGGTTTCAGTGACAATATCGTGATAACAATTTAGTAACGCAAATCACAATATTTTTGCTTTGCTTCACGTAATCATTAAACAATCGAATTAGTAATCTAAAAAAATATCATCTAATATACGTTGTGATTTAAAAATATAAGTTACAAATATTTAATGAGAACTCTTTTTATATAATATTCTGTAACCAACAATTTCCACCATTTATCACCTTCGTAAAATTTGTGACAAAACTTTGCGCCATAATAATATTTATGCCATACATTTAAATGGCCAAGAAGCTGACAGTGATATATATTATCCATAAACGTTATGCTCTATTAAATTTGTGAAGTTTGTACAAAAAGATTAATTACGTGTCGATACAAAGTTCGCATCATTGCACAGCTCATTTATTCTGATATTAGTGACATAAAATAGACACTCGACAATGGTACACAGCATCGCGAGTGTTCTCGTCACGAAACACATGTTGCTTCTAGTTGAAATAGCAAATATCTATAGGCATTCATATACCATAAGACACGCAGTTCAGTATATATTCAAAAGTATCGTTAAAAAATACATTTTATATATAATTGTCCTGCTATTATTTAGGATGTATGCCCTTTTAAGATTTCTCTGCTTTGAAACAAGTTATCGGATCGCCCAAAAGATTTTCGTGAGATCGAGCTACCAGCATATGCCAGCACCCAGGCACAATGCTCAGTGTCTCCATATGATTTCCGTATTTTCCGACCTCGTGCGTATCCCTTCCCTCGCGTTGCGCGGCGATGTGCCGCAAAAGACGGCTGCGTGCGGGGCACAGGACGAGAAAGAGTGAGAGAGTAGGGAAACAAAACGAGACGGAATCACCTAGTGAGCGACGCGGAAGGGGAAAGACGGAACGTGCGAGTGAGGAAGCGAAAGAGTAGGGGATCCGCGAGCGATCGGCTGCTCTACTCAGTCCTCGTCCGTCTGCCAGCCGGTTATCTACGGCGGAAGCAGTTGACAGCTTGCGCCCTTTTCGCGACGCCGCTCCGGCTAAAATCGGCTGAATTTCTCGCTCCTCGCGCTTCTCTTCTTTTCACGTGTTATAATTCACGCGTCGTCCGCGTAAAGATTGCACGGGAACGACCGTTGACTTTGGAGGCACGAAATGTATTCCGTGTCACGCGCGACCTTGTCATCGTTCCGCGAAAATCGCGTAGTAGCGCGAGAGCCTATCGCGTCACTGTCGCCGCGGCTGCCATCTCTATTTTTCCGGGATCATTTGGATTTCCCACGACATGTTCGACGACGAGGCCCCCCCAGTACTGACGAGACTCGACAGCTACGAAGACGTGGAATCGCCAAAGGAAGGGAGACATCTCGATGGCAACTGTCATTATAGACGCCACGAATAAAGGTACATATAGGTCAATAATGCGCTATTAACGAACGAAAAAATGTTCACTGCGAAAAAGCGCGATTCGTTCCTCGTCCACCGAAGTACCGTCACTACTTTTTTCGTAATGTCAATTCAACATCGTAAAAAATTGACAAATCGTTGGCAAATAAATGAACAAGCGAACGAATGAACAATCGCGCGTACGTATCATTCCTATGTAAATTGAAAGGAATCCTTGTAATTTCGATAAATTTAGCGATTATTGCGTTATTGTCGTAGCGTAATAAAGCACACTGATCACTCTTAAACAGCATTGTAATTTAAGATTATATTTAATTTCTGAAAAGCATATTTAAACTAAATGATTTTTAACAATACATTGTTAAAATATTTTGAGGACATTGCTTTAATTACAATTTAATTAAAAAAATATTTAACTCATTGAAATCCTATTGTTGCAAATGGGCTTTTTGTATGGTTATAAAATTATAAAAATATATCGATATTGCATAGATGTACGTTAAATGGAAAATAGCGACATGTGACACGTTATGAAACTAAATTACCTATGTTGAGAATTGTGTAGGAACGTTCTTATAGAGGACAAAGCTTGAAAACCGTTCCGTCTAAATGGATCTTTAGATCGGTGTCAATCGCAACACTATACGTGCTAGTTTGCTCATATAATTGCAAGTCGCTCTCGATTAACATACGCGATTTTTATATATGTATATCACGAGTAAATTTGCGCAAGTGAACTCACCAGTACAAAGGAAAAACTTGTGAATGGATGTAACTGTACAAAACACGGCCAACTTCTAACACAACGTTCGATCGATCCCACTCTTTCGCTTGCACATTTAGAACTGACGTTAATCATTGATTAGGATCTCGAAAATTAACTTCACGATATTTTATAAAGATTATATTTGTGTTACATAAAAATAGGGAAAGAAAAAAGTTAATAAAAAATAACTACGGATTATTTGAATTTAGGAATATGTAATAATGATGAGCAATGCATTCATTTTTTTGAGGATGATTGAATATGCAGGTCAAGGATCGGGGAATCTTATCGTGAAATTATATCAGACTACGTTCCATTGCTCATAAATCATACGTGTAAATAGAAATGATTAATAAGCATATATGTAATATACAAAATTGAAGAAAGAATTAAACTAGATTGTAAAGAAGAAAGCGTATAAAGACTTGAAAAATATAGTAGTGGATTATCGCGCCAATTGTGTGGCGTTATTACCGATTATCAGCAACTAGGTACAGACAGTTAGGTAGATGGACAGATAGACAAGTTTAGTCACACTGGCTCTTTGCATAGCTCTTTGCAAGGCTTTTCTTAAGTAGTACAATCTACAGCGAAACTGCATTAATTATAGATTCCGAGTGACGTTTTATTGCTTTTTATTCTTTTAAATAGGATAAACTCGAATAAAGCAAATCGATTTTAATCAACTTAAACATAAATGCTGAATAAAATAATAGCTGTTATAAGGAAATTAATTATTTTTCTACAACTTGTTGAAAGTGCTATTATCTAGAATTACAAAAAATATTGAGCGAAACTTTTGAAGTCTCTACATTTGTTCGAACTTAAGTGAAAGGGAAGTATAATCGAAAACAGGGCCAGCCCGGCGAGAATGCAACAGATTCGCGCGGAGCGACGAATGCGGCGAACATACTTTTATTTAGACAGTTAGCCGTTGATCGAACAGTAGTTTTCGATGTTCTTCGAGCGAGGAGAATTAACAACTCGACATTCAAGCGTCCGTGAAGAATGAGCGATGAGATCGAAGAGGTGAACGCACTGGAGCGAAATTTACGTCAGGCTTGGTGCCGCGTACATTGCGGTATGGGTACGCGTGCGTGCATGGGATCGTTTGATCTTTGCGAATGACGCGAATGAATCTGTGTATTATTAAATAGATAACGGTCATAAATTCGGTCGGATTACATAAAGGCGCAAAAGTGCATCTTTAAGGTCCGACCGTTCTATTTCTGTGCCGGCGACCGAAGCGTACGTTCTAGAGCAGTGATGCTCAACTGCATTCCCGGTCTCTTCTGACGGAGGCGGAAGTCGTCCGGTGTTGCTCGCCGCTGCAGCGAATACCGATCGATCGATCGTGAAATCGCACCGCGGAATTCGTAGGAGTTGTAGCGAATAATTGTGTAGCTATTTGTTTAATTAGCACACCAATTTCTATTTAATAATCTTTTAATCTGGTTTATTTCTTAAATATTTCAATTTTTTGATTTGCAAAACAGATTATTTGGAGGAAACTTTTTGCCATTTAAAATTATCATGAGTAATTAAATAATATATTGTTGTGTAATATAGACGCTATATAATACTTGAGCGTTGTATTTAGCTCGCGAAAGTTTTAAGATATTGCACGGAAAACTTTTAGGTGATATCGAGCAGACTTTCAACAAGTTTAATTGGTACTTATAACAGTATTTGTTGAATTATTCCATGAAAATGTAATATTATTCAATTATTTTTTATCTTTTCAACGAAACATTTTAACGAACATTGTACAACAAATGATTTGTAGCCGCCTATAAACGAAGATCCTAACTCGATTCCGCTTCAATAGCTTTTCGCAAATTATCAACGTAACGATAACGCGATAGTCGTTCTTAAAACGTGCGACGCACATAATTCGGATAGTGCGTAAAAACCACAGGTCGTTTCCGTGATTTGATAAGAGTGCCCGATTAGAGAGCCACTGAATGGGTACGGAATAATACGTGTGTTAGCAGTTATCATCGGCCGCGCTCGCTAGCTCTATTTGCTTTTTATCAATGTTGCGCGCGATAATTTCTTCTTCAAATTGCGAGAGCCACAGTCGACTACGAGCTTTTCTACGCACTCGCACAGACATTATCGCGCCATCCTTTTAGCGTGACACGTCAAATTAATATGCACAGAAATTATCATTTAGTATCAAAACTGATTTGAATAATTTAAAGGAACAAAAGATTGTTAAACATTTTGATATAATGTTACTAACAATAAGCAAAACATTATTGTATGTCTCTTGATAAATGAACGTATGATATATAGCGTAAAATAAATGATAAAGAAGCGATTTTTAACAATAAGGAAGGCTGTTAAAGAAAATAAAGATGAATAGGAAGAAAAAAAACAGGACTAATATCTCAAGAAAGATAGATATTCGCATTAAAGGAAGAGATTGCACATATTCACAGAGCGCCACCGACGAAAAATATCTTTGCATGAAACGAGTCTAAGGTCTTCCTCTTTCTCTCTTTCTCTCGCTATAGAGATTTTTCCGCGGCGCCACATTATTGGCAGACGTCCAAACGAGCCGGCAGCCCCGTGCCTTGTCTATTTTCGTTGATTCCAATCTTCCTGAAAAGCCAGCCCGGCAAACGGGTTGCGCTTGCACTCGATGCACCTTCCGCCAATGGCATTTTAGCGGTCGCCGCTACTGCCGTCGCCTCGGCGGTGTTATTCTATGATGTACGATTAATATCGCTATAAAGATGACGATAATCGTGTCAAATCAGTAACGCCGCGTTTAACGGACGTTGCGCATAATAAAGAAACGATGTTTCGCCAGCTGTGTATTCATCTCGCCGATTCCGTTTGGAATAATCGCGATATTCGAATGGATTTTATTGCACTCGCGAGATTCTTTTTAAAAATAGAACGAGTCATTTGTGCTCGCACGTCGAGTGGGAGGCAGGACAAATGAGCAAAACAAATCGTCATATTGATGTCCTACTGGCATTTGCTAAACGTCATTAAAGTCGCGTAATGGCTGCAAATATTTCCGTCGAGAGGAGAGTTCAATAAATTGCAACGATGCGATTGTCGATTGTACAACTCAAATTGTCCGAATAACCCATTTGCGAATAATTCATCATTTTTATTTCTATCAGCTGAGATTGTATCGATGCCATCAGCATTGAAAATTAAAAGTTTTCTACGAGTTAAATCTTGTAACTGTGAATGCGCTGTGTAAAACCTCTTTTCAAACTTTTTTACCGATAGAACATCATCTTTTTCTTGAATTAATTGGAATTTCACGTAACAGGAAATTTAAGTTCAAGCTTAATCGTCGAAATACTTAACGTGGAAGATTAAAAGTATTTGTGACATATAATTATAAATTTGTCATGAATTTTAGGAAGATTCAGTCAATTCGGAATGTAAATATATTGTTCTAGGAATAGTTTTGACTTGTTTTAGCCGATGCATTTATCCGCTTATCTCCGAGTAACAAAGTCCGAAATCATCAACTTTGATTTACGTGCGGCGGTGACTCAGAAGAGAGAAAGAGAAAATGAGAGTGTAAGAAAAAAAAGATTAAAGGAAGCATTCTCCTCTTTGGAGGGGCGCTGACTGGTCTGCAGCCAGTCTGAGAATCGACGTCTTTAATTCGGCACATGTGACTCAAGTGCCTTCTTTCCTGTTCTCTCTCTCTTTCTCTCTCCTTGCTTCTTCTCGATCTGTCTCTCACTCTACCTGTCTGTCCACTGTTTGATTTGTTAGTGAATTTAAAGTACCACTCGTAAAAGCCGTGCGATATCTCGTCTTCCATAAATTGAGTAGCGAGAATATTTTCAGTATTTCTATTTTTAACAATCTAAATTTGTGACTTATTTTGAAAGTTCCGTTCCATAGATTTATCATAGCTTTAAATAAACTTAAATTATATCGTTCATTTCGTGTTTATTTTTAGGATTAAATTTAAAAAATTACAAAGTTTTATATTTTCTTTTTAAAAAGAAAAGGTGAATTCTCCTCTCTATCTACTTGTTTTTTGTAACATTTATCGTTATCGTTTTTAAGTAACAATAACTAAATGAGAAAATTTTGCAAATAGCATGTAATATCAAGTTCAATTTGAATTTGAATTTTATTCTAAGCAGAATCAATCTTTATCGGTTTCTGTCTCGTTCTTTCGGCGCCACCGCCCCGATCACTCGTTGCACGCACCAACGCTTCTCCCTCCGTGCGGCGTGCGGCA